CACTCACAGCAAGTTAGAAGAGAAGCTGCATAAGATAAGAAAGAAGATGAAGCAGTCCAAAGGAGCGTGCTGTATATTAACTAAGGCTACAACGGACGCCGATGTGGTTGCTTCTGGTAGTATTTTATTGATCTGATGGACTGATAGCATTCCTTCGTTTTCTCCCTACTCGCCTCCAAATATGCTCCACCTTTAAGCAAAAATCTGCGAGAGTGTCGGGTCCTACATAATATAGTGGTGTATGGAGAGAAGGTCTTTCGGAATAATTGGTCCGCACGTTTTGCAGCAAGTGTTTGCTTTCGATCCACAATTTTACAAGACTTGAGTTATGACTGTTTGAAAGACATACCTTTAATACATTAATTCACCCCCCCCCCTGCATCACGGTTCACACTTCACGCCGAATTTTAATTGAAGCTTTAACGGGGTATATTTGGTCAAAATGTTGGCCCTGCGATAGTGTGAGCCTCTGAACGCGACTGAAAGTTCATCAGTGGCTACCGTAGCGCGTACTAAAACCGGGCGCTTACGAACTAAGGGATAATGGTCGTTATTAGGAGGTTAAAAAATCATCAGAGAGTCCTCAACAAACCATATGACGTCTTCTGGTCGCATAGGTTCACGCCAAACGGGCGCGGTGGTAAATTCTGTTGAAAGAAGTCCGACCGGAGAAGTTCCGGACTAACCTAATGCACTGGAAACAGTAAAGAATGCCAAACTTTCTCGAAGTTTTGGCATCTTCCCTTTATAATGCTGATCCTGCTCAGTCAGCCGATTACCGCTCCTACCGCTCAAAAAGAACCCTTCTCCCTCAGGGTTTCCACAACGGCACCGCTTAGAACATCCCTGAAACGTTTTTTCAGACAGCCCAAGGCAACCATTACCTTGGACTATTTTAAAAGCGTACCACTCGTCACCTAGAAACGCTGCCCTTTGCAACTGCTGAATATGCACCAGCGCAATGATTCCCAGTACTTTCATCCCTCCGAAATCCTCATATTTTGCTAGAACCCAATCCAATGTGATCAGCTAGTGTTCGAAAATGGGATCTTGTTACACAATGCTACCTTCTACAAAATTGTAAGTTTTTCAGCTCCCAAGAGAATAATAACGTTGTATTGATTCTACGAATCCAATCTCACCTTTATATTCTATATGGGTGCAAAAGATGATCCATATTTAGGCATCTTTCGTACTGGTTTCTTTTGGATGGACGTTACACTTCACCAGAGCTCAAAGTGATTTCACCCTTTTATTTCTGGCATGCTGTTATCAAAAATTTTATTTTGATCACTCGATTCACTTTTAGCACTCGATTGCTCGAACGACATATTGACTAGCGAAGATAGGCACATTTTCTTGGACTTTCATAATGAAATGCGGAAATCAGTGGCACTAGGTCAGCAGGTGAATGTGGACGAGCTTTTGCCGACAGCTTCAAATATGTACAAGTTGGTGAGTAGATTTTCAGTTATAGTGGCCAGCAGTTTCCAATGCAGTGGCACAAAATGAAGCTCTATTCCGCTAATGTAGCAGAGGTGGTGAAATGCATGAAGAATGTTCGAAAGTAAGAAGAGAATTCTTCTCATGGTAGGAATGTTAAGGCCAAGACGCGAAGAGCTGCATTACCACAATCAGGACTCTTTGAACTCGCTCAAGGGATGCAGGGGACATGTAGGGGAACAGTACAGGGTGTGCGACAAGGCAATTGTACAGGGGTATGCGATAGGACAATTGTAATATGCCACTCTTGTGAGCGTGGCTAGCCGCCGCGCACGGCGGACGAGTTGTCCTGCCCGGTCTTGTGAGTGCCAAAAGAATGAGGAAATTCCACGTTGCTCGACATGGAGTCTTGTTTCGAACCGGTTTCGCTGTTTCAGTCGAAAGACTGTTGCACATCGAGCAGTTGCAGCTCATCGTCGCACGATAGGCAATGATAATGGGCATTATCGCGAATAAGTACATTCCTGTCCTGTTCGCTGCCAATGCTAGGACTCATCGAGGGGAGGGGGTCTGGGCTTGCAGCGGCGCCAAACCCAGCCTCTTCCTAACACAACCCTGCATCCGCAGCGAAAACGCTATACGTGGAAGGGACAACTTCTCCCAATATTGTGTACTGGGGTATTGGGAAGGGAAATAGGTCTCTGGAATGAGACTTTTCCCTCTGAAAATGATCCTGTTCAGAAGTGGTCGTGTCTTCTGGAGGGCGAGGTTTACGAGAGGCTAAATCGGTGTGACAGCAACCACGAGCCGCTCAGAAGATTCGGCTTCAATGTCAACAGCAGAGAGTGGGCGATTTTTCTGGAACTGTTTCTAACTAACTTTCCTAATTTCCTAATTCCTAACTAACTTTTCTGGAACTAGTGGATAATTTCTCCATTTAGGCTCCATAACGTTAATCTCGAAGATACGCCTACTAATGAGTTCAGGGAGATATTGCGTGAGTGGTGGAGTGTTCTAGAAGAGCACCGGCTCAGTGAACGTGATTCTTCAGAAGAACCCGAACGATTTCAAAATGTTGACAATGTGAGTAATGCCATACTAAATCTTCATGGTTAGGCAACAGAAGAGAACTCTGGTATGGATAACACTCCAGTAAAAAAATAAGGGAAAACGAAGAGGGTTCGTCCCGCCACTCACGCAAACCGTCCTTTCAGTTCGTCAGTACCAGAGCGACTTGTTAGTGATTCGGGAAGCGTCCAGACTTCGCAATTACACGCGTCGACGCGCTGTAATGCGCTGCAGGGCGCGATGACGCGCTACTATTGCAGCAGCGCTTGAAAGGTATTAATGGACGGGAACGCGGCCGCAGACAACATTCACCGATCGATCTTCGTCTGCAAACGGTCGTAGATGCTGCCTAAGACTGGTGGTCATCTGCAGTGGTCATCTGCGGCTGCGTTCGCGCCAGTAGCTTTGGAGGCGCTTTACAGCGCGTTAAAATGCGGAAGCGCATATCTCGAAGTTTGAACGCCGTCCTCGTGGTTGAAGAAAAATGTGCACGTGAACGCAGTCCAATTCGAACTGTGCCGTTGTGGCGGTGTACGGAATGGAAGTGGAGAGGCCAGGCCGTGGTCGCTCAATGCAATCGCTTTAGCGCGAATTATGAATGCGCTCCAAGATCTAGAGTTGAAGATCTGTGACCCGGGGCAGGTGGCGCAGAGAGA